GGCCTGAAAATATTCCAGCCACATTTTCAGATCCAAGGTATAGGTAAGACAGTGGAGTTGTCATTTATAAATCGAATACTTCTGAACAATTACAAATTAGTAACTGAGTCAAATAGCAAAAATGGACAAGTTTTATGCAGCCAATCATAAAACTAATTAGGTTTAGTATCAAGGAAAGACTCACTGCAAACTACCTACCGTGGCAATAGAGTAGAGCTGGAAAAACTCAGATATGCGTCTGCTCACAACATTAAATCAATTTCCACTATTGCTGACCAGAATAGAACAAAATTTTATTAATGTCCCTACTGAATCTAAGACTATGAATGACAGCTAAAGCTACCTAAATAGCTTTAGAGTTGATAGTAAATTTGAATATTGATGTGCTTAATATTTGCCAATAGATCATGAGTATCTTTTTTTTTAAATCAATTAATGTGTATCCAGCTATCTAGCTATGACACATGACCGGTGCTATGTATACATTTTGACGACTCTTTTGACGTTAGAGACACTCATACTCTGGATTTCATTCGCAAATACTACTACGAGGTATGCTTGCTTACACAAACAGTCGACCCTCCTCCGTAAGCACCCACCAAAGGGAATTTCAAAACCTTTGGTTATCCAAGCATGCCTTCGTCATCGATGTATACCAGCGCCGCGAGAAAAGTGGATGTGTTTTGCTGGATTTGAACCAGCGATCTACTGTCTCAAGTGGGATATGTATCCAAGCTATCTAGACTCTACTTGGCAGACTGGCCAAGACGATGTACCACCGCACCATCAAGCCATGGCGGTGTTTATAGTGTCGCCTGCACTCGATGATGAGGGTCGTGCCCTTGCTGACCAGAATTTTTTGAATAATTCCAGAATTTTTCACTTATTAATTTTTTTGGTTACACGACGACCCGCTGGCGCACAACACTAGATTATAAGGCCAAGTGCCTGCTTGCTCAGTCTGGGAAGACTACCTTATGTACCAGCGCTTCTTTTGTTTTTGCATCAGATTTTAATTGCGTATGCAGCTATCTAGCCATGACACAATATCAAAGAAAAGTACAGAATAGATGATTCAACGTTAAGGAAGAGCACTCATGCCTCAGATTTCATTTGCAAGTACCACTGCGAAGTTATGGTGGCTTTTTCTTCACCCCAAGTCAACCCTCATCCGTGAATACCCACTCAGGGAAACGTCTCAAAAACCCTGAGTTATCCAGACATGCCTCCATCATCTTTCAACTTTTCTCCGCGCGAAATATGGTCTTAGGCGTCTCCTCAAGTGTAGTAGGTGCCCAGGCTACTTAAACCATACCAGAGAACACCACCAGGAGGCGGACCACGTCACCTTCCCTCGTTGGCTTGTGTGTGTAGTGTCAGCCGCACTCTCGCAAGCGGAGTCTTGACGCATACAACGCTCAATTCGTATAACTCCTTGCCAAAATTCGGAATCTCATGCCCTTCGAAGTTATATCCTTCCTTCCTTCGCATCGTATTGTCAACTTGTCCTGATTCCTCTCACGTCCATCCCAAAGAGCTGTCTCCCAGATTTATGCGCCTCGCTTTACTTCCTCCGTAGGGTATAAATATCGACGTGGGCGTGTATTGGGTGGTCAACTGGGGCCAAAGAAGGTTGAAGAGAGGTGTGGTCAATGGAATGAGAATGTACTTTGTCGTACTCGTAGGCTTGATGAGACGAAGTAAGGAGTCAAACTCGTTGGGAGCGAAATAACGACATGGAGGAGTAATTTGGATTTTTGCCTCCTGGGCCAACTTCTTTGATATTGCGAAATATGATTGTACTTGGCTCTGGAAGAATATTACACTCCCAGGTTCGTAGAGGACACCGCGTACAGGTACTCAGTCTTGCCCTCCGTACCAGCGCTTCAAAAGAGTCCAGAAAACTGAAAAAAAATGAAGCCCAGTCACAGCTCAGCGCCTCGCAAAGTTACAAGAGATTCGAGGGATTGACTTCTTCTGTCAACCTTTTAAGTGATACCCTTGTGGATCCCAATTGATGGAAACCCGAGCGTGCACATTGTACACTGTTGATTGGCTCACGTGGTGCGGGGAATATTTAAACAAAGTGGCGATTCTGTATTACAGAAATCAATTCACGTATTATTAGTCTCAAGCTCAACCCATATTATATTGTTGATTAGTCGGACCCACGAGACACCTGCGTGAAATCATTGTGATCATAAACTGATCAACCAGAAGCCACACCCTTCCAAACTTGATTGCTTCATTTTAACCACTTCCAAAGCTTCCACGATCCAGAATCCCTCCCATCTTCCATCGTAGGCTATGATTTCGTGGAAGAATATTCATACTCGGCAAACAAACTTTAGTGTCCTCCGATTAATTACCCGTTGATAAAAGTGATGGAAGAAAGGTTCGCGGGTCGTGTTGTGACTATTTCGGTGTCATACAGGGATCTCCAAAATTGGTTGGTTTATCGATGGAAATTGCGATGATCAGTTTAAGCTGATTTCAGTTTGGGTGGTCTTGATAATTTTCTTCGTGATTTATGTAGGCGAGAAATATCTGTCATATAGGAGTTGAGATTTAAAATCAGCCCAGCATTACTCCTAGCAAGAGTCTCAGTCGCGAAAAAAATCGATCTAACCCTTGGGATTGGCTCAATCTTAACTCAAGAGGAATATTTGACTACCAGGTTGGTATAGGACACCACCGATTGGTGGTAACACTTAATCCTGTATAGTAAAAATTAGTTTTCATTTAACGCCAAAATCCTCTGCAGCCACAGCCATATGTAGCACAAATTTGGTTCATTCATTTTCATTTCATTCATTGCTCTAGTTTAACGTCCTATGCGGTATCTATATACAGAACCATGAAGACGGTAAGCCATGTTAAGAAGGGAAAAAGCTTTCAACAAACAAAACCCGATGTCCTGCCACTTTGAACCGACCCGGCTTAATTCTGAGGACGTTCCTTTCAACCATAATTTTATAAACTTTCCCCAGAATTCATTAACTCCCCCTTCAATCAGACTAACGTTGTGAGAAATTGAAAAGAGAAGGCACCTCCTCACTCGGCGTTGGTCTTCAAAGTGTTCGAAGAGTTGGCCCCGATGGTTGGTGCCGCTGGGGCTTCGACTTCCTTGCGTGGTCGTCCCGGCCCTCTTTTGAGTCCCTCAGCCTTTTTACTGGTGACCAGAGTGAATCCTTGATCATCAGTTGGTCCGACTGTTCGTATTGGCGCCATTGGTAGTTTTTCATTCCATATTTCAGCCGTTCTTGACAACAGCTCCATCCGAGCCTTCTCCACACTTCCCTTGTAGACCTGGTAGATCCGACACGCTGCTTTCTGCCACGAACGGTGCTCCTTGCCGCAGTTCGCACAAGAAACCCTTTTCCTCGGACAGTCCCGAGTTTGGTGAGCGCCAGCGCACTCACCGCACCTGGCTGCCTTTCCACACGACGCCTGCGTGTGTCCCCACTGGCTGCAGTTGTAACACTGCTTTGGCTGTGACCGTGGTGAACACACCTGCGCGGTGTAGAGCATGGCGTTCATCACAAGGCCGTTTCGAACCACATCCGTCTGCATTGCCTCCGATGGGAGGCTTACCACTAATGATCCACGAGTGCGACCATTTTTCTTTGACCGCTGGTGTTCCTTTCCGTCGTGTAACCACCTTATATGACTTATCACTAAGCCTGGAATCCGTGCCTTCGTAGCCGTCTCTATCCCCCTGATGATAGCAAAATTGTTTGCATCTCGGCCCCCTTAAATTCGTGTCCGTAATGGAACACCGTCAACCTCGACTGGGAAATCTTGCCGTAGAATTTTGAAGTCCGTTGGTTGTCGCATGTTTAGCGCCACGTCTCTCTGGGACGCCGACTGGACGAACACCTCAGTGTCGTTGCTTCACATTTGGCGAATCGCGTATGCGCCTTCGATATGTTGTTGTGCCTTAGTTAGTAGCTATTGTAGCTGCAAGTTTTGTGCGCCGTCAATTCTTATTCTGACCGCCGTCTTCGCCATTTGCGGAGCTACGACCGACGCGTAACTCCTTGCTGTCGGCGCGCCCGAAACCGCTGCTGGAGCAGCTTTTCGAGCGGGATCCGCGAGGCTTTTCTTTACGACTTCCTCTAAAGCCATCATCCTCTCCTCGATAGGAGACTTCTTCTGGGACATTTCAGTCCAGGCCCTTTTGTGCGCGTTGAAGGCCTTGACGGCCTCGTTCACGTCCTCCATTGAGGGTAGGTCCTCCTCATCCATCTCTCCCATCACGATTAGTCTGACCTGTTTCAATAGTTTCCCTAGGATTTCAAGGTTCTTATCCTTTGGAGCTGTCTGCGCTCCGCTGCCGTTGTTTGATGGTGCCATTGTCGCATTTTGCGACGCGTCGAAACCGCTGGATATACCCACACCAGCACCCACACTCGCCATGTTGGAGCACGGAAGGCGAAAAGTTGGTAGGAGGGTAATGAAGATATAAAAATAATAATCACGATGTCAATTTGATGATACGGGCAGCGTGGAAGGCTGCACAGTTTTCTGGCAAAAATGATGTTTTTTTTTTCCAAAAATTTGGTTATTTATTTATTTATAATATTTAACATCGTGCCCGCGCACAGCACGTGAGCTCCTCATGTACCTGTTAGCCCAGTCTATATACAACTACCCGACGTATTGGCGCCTACATAGACTCAACATAGCAAATGAAAACTGGGATCTTGTTATCCTGTGTTCGAAGATTTTATTAAACATGAATATCCGCCTCTCGTTGTCTCTCATGATTTGCAGATTTTACTTCATGGAGAATGTAAGGCAAAGAAATAAAATTAGAAAAGAGGATTTTTGGTTGCGTCGCTTTAAAGCTCTCTCGCTTTAATACATGACTTCATTCCCGTTCAGGCTTGTTGTTGTGCTATTCCGATAAAATTAGTGTCACGCACCCAGCCACGTGTAGTACAAATTCACCTATTGGACTAGAGATCTGTAAGGCATGATCAGCTGACCTCGCTTACATAACGAGCTCCAAATCATTAGGCGAGTGCCAAGATTTCTATCGCACAAAGACCTGGACTATCGCTGCACTTCATCAATTTGTCAACATCTCCTCCAGTCGCCAAATTCGAGCGCCACGATTTGCTCAACATGGTAAGCCACTCGAATTATTCTACCTTCTCATAAACGTTTTACGCACTCGCTTGGTATTCTCCTGGCAGTCACGCGCCGAGATATAGATCCAGCGGGCTTCAACGTTGGCTTGAGCAGCAGAAGTGCATCAGTGCCAATGCTGTCTCTTTAGAGTAAAAAGAAGAATATTAGGGGCCATATCGCTGATATCTTCTTTTCTCAATGACAGCCTCCAAAGTCCGGAAAAAAAGTGGCAGCCGCCCCATTCCCCCAGTCTAAGGCTGGAGCTGGGTCCAAGAAGCCGGCTAAGGTCAGTTAAAATTTCAGCTCATCAGTTAATTTTTAACCCGAATTAGAACCCACTCATCGAGAAACGTTCTCGAAATTTCGGAATCGGGCAGAACATTCAACCGCGACGGAATCTTTCTCGTATGGTGAAATGGCCTGAGTATGTTCGTCTACAACGTCAAAAGAAAATACTTCATTTGCGCCTAAAAGTTCCACCTGCTATCGCTCAATTCCAAAATGTCTTAGACCGTAATACTGCCACAAAAGCATTCCATCTCCTTAACAAGTACCGACCAGAGACTAAGGTACAGAAAACTAAGCGCCTCCTTCTTGAAGCTGAGGCAGTGAGACTTGGCAACAAAGAAGACGTCAGCAAGAAGCCTTACACCGTCAAGTATGGGCTGAACCACGTCGTTGGATTAATCGAAAACAAGAAGGCAACACTTGTTCTCATCCCAAATGATGTCGACCCAATTGAATTGGTAATCTTTCTTCCCGCACTCTGCCGAAAGATGGGCATCCCATACGCCATTATCAAAGGTAAGGCTAGACTTGGCACCGTTGTCAACAAAAAAACCGCAGCCGTGCTCGCTATAACTGAAGTACGCTCTGAAGATAAGACTGAGCTATCTAAACTAATTCAAACCATCAAAGAGGGGTACGCTGAAAAATATGAGGAAGCAAAGAGACACTGGGGAGGTGGAATAATGGGTGCAAAGGCCAATGCCCGATCAGCGAAAAAGCAAAAAGCTATCGATTCTACCATAAAGATTTAGGAAACTAACTTCAATAAAATTGATTGTTTTTTCCCAATGACCCGAAGAGAAGCTAATTTAAATGAACTCCGCATCATTTTTCTCTAAAAGTTCGCAACCTGTGTTGTTCCACTAATGACTTCCAGATGCATTTTTGATTTTGAACCTCTATCACCTTTTGAAGTAGAACTTCAAGACACAGATTAGCTCCCCTCTAGGTAGGCAATCAAGCTTTCCAGAGAAACCCTATCGTTCTCTAAGGTATGGCCGTAAAAAAGCTGCAATTTACGAAGTCCTCTTGCACCTTCTACTATGAATTCCGAGAATCTTCCCTGCCTTACCTACCTTTCTCATGCATTTTGATTGACGTCTTACCTATTTAGACAGCTTCTTAATTAACCATTCCTGTTGAGTATGTAAACCTCACAGGTCTCTTGCTGGTTGATATAATAGTTATTTTGATCATCTCTCCTCCTAGTTGGACTGCACTCTCGGGTTGTGTTATGTCACCTGATTTCGACAAGTGTTGAACGAATATTCTGTGCTTAGAACTAGACCTGCGCAAAAGTGAATCTTAGTACATCGCTCATGCAGGAAATCAATAGAGAGATATTGAGAAAGTACAACATTGCAATGCCAAATCCCAGATTACCGACATTCTGTCAGGGATAAATTGAGAATCATTTCTAAAACTTATTGAGATTGCGATGATTACAACTAGCCTTTTTGAATCATTCAATATGAATTCAGCTGCATAGCCATTACACACAATTAATTTTCGTCCCTCAAGTTTCTGTGTCTACAATAATTTAGCCGTGACACATGATCAGTGCTTTACGAGCACGACAGATGGCTCTTTAGATTATTGACACTCATAAGTTGAATTCCGTTCACAAATACCACCATAAGATATGTTTGCTTCCGAGGGATTGTCAAATCTCTTCCGAAAGTATCCACCGAAAAGAAATCTCAAAACTTTTGATTATCCATGCATAACTTCGTCTGTTGTTCACATGAGCACTGAGAAATAAAGTGTCGTGTTACTGAATTCGAACCAGTAATATTATGTCTCAAATGGTTTATGTTTCTAAGTTATCCAGACTCTAATTGGTATAATGGCCTGGATGATGTACCACTGTATCATCCAATAATGGCAGTGTTTAAATTGTCGCCTGCACCCAAGCAATTGAAGGCTTTCCGCACACAAAAGAATTCAATGTGGAAACTTCATCACAAGTTTTAGAACTCTATCATCCCAGGACTATATTTCCTCCCGAGCTTCATCATTTTTTCTGTCTGGATATCTGTCACGTCTATCCCAAAGATGCACCTCGCACATTTACTTCGTTTGGCAGGTATGGTTATCGTCTTGGGTATCGGTCGGTAATACGTACGTGTGTATGTATGTAAAGGGTTCTCTCAATGTAGGTTTTGTCCAGTATCTCACTCTTACAGGCAGGTGTATCGGCCTTGTGGGAGACACGGCGAGCCGCATTAAAACACGTGAATAACCAAGTATCAATACATTGTCATCTCCATCTATCTTGGCTAATGTTTCGAGGCGCAAAATTAATAGGGTTGGAGGCGGCAAGTCGCGACACGATACTCTGTTGTCTGTAGATATGTCTGACGGCAATAGGCCGGGCAGGCAGACCATCCTTTCTCTAGAGGACTTAGAGGCTGAGTTACTCGACGTGGCCTATGGTCGTTAAATGTTCACGAATAGATACCTTGGCTAATGTAGATCTTCAAGAAGCGTTGCGGCATTTGGGGTATATTTTGAGGCCAATTGAGTTCCGAGGCCGAGTTGACGAGAGGTGCAGTTGTCGAAACGAGGTTCCTTCAGGTCATGAACTAGACATGATGATTCTAAGAGAATTAAACTCGTTGTGAGGGAGAGATCGAAGTGGCGGTGAGTCTTGAATTATTGTCTTGTAGACCGACTCCTCCGATAATACAAAATTTGGCTGGATTCGGCTCTGGAATAACATTTCACTCCCAAGGTCGAAGAGGATATCGTTGATAGGCATCAAATCTGTGATCTACCACAACCAATATACAATTACAATTACGGCTGATCTCCACTCTTAATGGCCATGAGCCCCTGCTGGCTATCTTTTTTTTTAATTCATGGTAGATTCAGCCATCTAGCTATAATATACTATTTACATCATTTATATCCCCCAAACTTTTTAAATATAATCTACTCAAATCCTTGTTAATTTCCAATTGGTGTTTACTATTTCTGCTGCTGGCTATCGAGTGATTGGGAAACATTGAGAAGGCACATTTTCTCGCGGCTCAAAATAGAGTATTATCCTTCTTGATCATTCATGGGGAGAGGTCCACGCCGCTTTAATTACAGGGCTCACGCGAAGTAGCAGATTTTGAACCGGCATATACCTGCTGAAATTGTAATTCTCGTCCTGTCTGAAACTTAGACTATTTGAGAAATTTATCGAATAAGACTAAGGAGCCAGTTTAATTGGAAAAATTAGTCTATATGGTGTTTTGGAGGTTTCATTCGTTCAAAAGTTAGGATGAATCAAAGGTTGGATCTTGTGATGAAAAGGCGTCCAAGATGTACGATACGTGAAGAGATGTCCTCTTGGCTTATAGATCTCATAGCGAGGTAAGCGGTGTTAGTCACGGTCTAAATAATAGATTGCTGGATTGAGGTCTGCATATTTCTGCCTGAAGGTTCCGGGCCCCCTAGGGCAAGCACGTATCGGGCTTAATTGCATGTTTTTTTTTTGTTTTTATTTATTTTGTCCTAAGCTAAAGCTATGTTTTCCACATTGGGTCAAGGACAGGCTGAGCCGGCAGGGTTCCCTGTAATCTTTCCTACAGCCTAACTCGTTCCAACCTCGTGAATCGCTACCAAAAGTGCAGCTGGTTAAACAGAAACGAAAAATCAAGAAAATCAAAACAACTCCGAAAAAAACCAGAAGATTCCTCCATGTTGGACCCAGTCAATGTGCTCCTCACACATTCTCTCTTCTGTCACACCTTCCAAATGAAAAATTTACTCCTTCTATGCTGAGAGCGAAAGATGAGTTAGCAGGCACCTTTGATCCAGCCGGTATCCTGCTAATTGTTAGTGGATGCCCCAGAAGGGGACATCTTCGAGGCTGCTGTATCCTCAAACTTCTTCTTCAGATCCCAGCACTCCGGAACCTGTTGCCTCAGCCATTGCGACATCCTTCGCCGCGGCGACGATCGCCTCTTTGGCCTTTTTGGCTGCAGCCCTAGCTCGAGCCGCCTCCGCGAACTTCCCTTGCTCGAGGTGGCGTATCCATGCGAGCTGCTCTTCAATCACCGGTCCAGACTTTCTGGGTCTGACTTGGCAGTCCCGAGAATCCGATCGATGAGGTCCCCCACAGTTACGACACTTTGTGAGGGCCCTGCACTCGGCTTCCGAGTGCATAGCTGATCCACAGTTCCAGCAGGCTGGAGCGCGGGAGCAACTACGAGTGGCGTGGAAGCCCAAACAGCGTTTACACTGTTCAATTTGGCGACGAGGCTTGTGAATGGTTGCCATACCAGACTCGTCGAAGAGGCGGAAGCCCGCACGAGGGGCGTTGTCCCGCGTGAAAAGGGCATGCCAGTTTTGATACGGTGCCCCAGGTCGACATGTCCCATGAGGTCGGACCTGAATTGGAATCGCGCCGGTCGTACCGAGAATCTTGGCAGAGACCCAGCTAGCATCGACCGCCCTGGTACCGCACACTGTAACTATACTTACAAGTACGTTCGGTGTCTGTAAGGCGACAAGATCCGAAGATGCCTCGAGTTTGACGTTATGACTCGCCAGCTTCGAAGAGCCTTCTAAAGTCTCTTGTCATGTTTTTACGTTCTTTGCTAGCATAGCAAAGCCCGTTCTCACTCGGTGGAGTGAGGTTATTTCTTGGTTAAAGTAGCTGAATGTATACTCTAACTTAGTTCTCACGCTGCTTGTGAACAATTTTCGCCACGGGTGGACCTTTTCAAGGCGAAGGAACAGTCGCTTATCGACTTTCGCCTGGAGGTTTTCTTTTTGTTGGGCTTTGGCCGCAGGTCGCGGCACAGCCTTCACAGTTGGGCCTGCTTTTTGTTGCAGTCCGTTTCTGGCCACCGTGGCCCAGGTGCTTTTAACAGGCAGAGCTGGGACGGTGGGTATTGTTTGTCTCCTGGCGTCGGGAGCCCTTGGGAGAGGGTTCGTCGGGCGAGGAGGGAGAACGGGTAGCGTAGTGGCCGGGCCCGTGGCCATGTATTGTGCAATGGCGGCGCGTAAGTAGACTCTCATCGAGTCTACGAATTGTCTTTTTGACCCGTTGGTCAAAGGAAGAAGGGTGGCTTCGACGCCAAAGATGGCGGCGGAGCAGAGGGCCAGGTTTGTCGCTGTTTCGGCGGCGCGTCGTTGTTCAGCTTCGACAATTGGTCGGAGCTCGAGGGGACACTCTGCTTTCGTGGCAGCTTTTGGCTGTGACGTTGATGTTGACGCTGCTATGGGTGCAGAGTTTTCCGACGGTTTTGAGGTGGTCGGAGGAGGTTTGGACGATTCTCCAATCCCGTGGGAGACGGAGGGTGGTTGAGGGATTTTCTCAACAATTTCATCTGACCAGACCATGTCAGTATCGGGCTCAGTGACGGCGCGGAGGGCTTTTTCCTTCCCTTTGATTGAGACCTTGCTCATCTCCGCGCATTTCGGAGACTGGGCAAGGCCAGCTACTTGTTCGAGAGCCCTCGGGTGGACTCTCGTGTTGTCCAACTTGGCGTTGGGACGCTTTTTTCGAACAGGTGGCATGGTAAAGATGCCAGTGACTCGATCACAATTTTTTGATAGAATGCGACGAGCGCGTGAGGGAGAGAGACGGGAAAAAGGTGAAGATTCGAAAATTCCAATTTCAAAATATTGGCATGTTTGGGATTTGATTAGATTTTAGTTCGCGTAGGCCTGATTCACAAGTCTGGATTCTCAACAGCGCTAGTATTAGGGTCTCGCTTATCATGTACAAATAGAGTGAAGCGCGCGTCGGACA